ACATACATACATACTGACATACATGCATTATGACATCCATACACACATACGTTCATAATGACATGCAGACATACATTCATACAGACATACATAATGACATACAGACATACATTGATACGGGCATACATACATACATGCGTACATTAATAATGACATACATACAGACATCCATGCATACATACATACATACTGACAGACATGCATTGATACTGGCATACATACAGACATACATTCATACAGACATACATAATGACATACAGACATACATAATGACATACATTCATACAGAATGCAAAACAGGGGAAGAAAAAACTGCATTTTTCTTATGCGTGTGAACCAAGGCGCTTAGTACTTTTACTATAATATCAAGTTAAGCAGCTGTAGCACTCTTAGGGTCCTCCTATTAACCCAGAAAAACAGATATATAAATAACCACCACTTTGTGTGACAACTAAATTTAGATAATAATCCCCTTAATGTGCACACAGTGGAATAGTGCAGCGCTAGGCAAAATTCTTACCCATACAATATCGGGAGTTTCTCATAACCGGAAAAAACAAAAGGTAGAGAAATATGGGCCCGGGCCCCGGCCCCACGTGTAGCAGCAGGACTGACACCGGTGCAGTTGCACCGGGGCCCGCACGCTGACAGGGTCTATTGGGTGGCCCACGCACTTAGGGCCACCCGATGGGCCCTATATCTTCAGGGGCCCGGTTAGCGCTGTGGCCGTGTAATAGCGCGACCAGGCCCCTTTAAAAAAAAAACAAAAAAAAATGCAGCCACAGCAAGTGCTGCCGGGAGGAAGTGGTCACTTCCTCCCAGCTCACTACGGCGCGGGAGGACTGCCAGCCAGGCAGTGAAGAGGGAGAGCCAACCGACTCCTATCAGCCCCTGCAAAGAAAAGGTAAGAGACAGGAGGGTGGCTGAGAAATGAGCTTTGTGTGTGTGTATGTGTGTCTGTATGTCATTATGTATGTATGTATGCCAGTATCAATGTATGTCTGTATGAATGTCTGTATGTATGAATGTATGTCTGTATGAATGTCATTATGTCTGGATGAATGTATGAATGTATGTCTGTATGAATGTATGTATGTCTGTATGTCATTATGTATGTCTGTATGAATGTATGTCTGTATGTCATTATCTATGTATGTCTGTATGAATGTCTGTATGAATGTATGTCTGTATGTCATTATGTATGAATGTATGTCTGTATGAATGTCTGTATGTCTGTCTGTTTCAATGTATGTCTGTATGTCATTATGTATATATGTCTGTATGAATGTATATATCTATAACCACCACTTTGTGTGACAACTAAGTTTAGATAATAATCCCCTTAATGTGCACACAGTGGAATAGTGCAGCGCTAGGGAAAATTCTTACCCATACAATATAGGGCGTTTCTCATATATAACCGGAAAAAACAAAAGGTAGAGAAATACGTGATAGTGCAATATTGTTATAGACAATTGATATACACACTGAAAACTAGAGAAATTTATGCTCACAAATCAAGAGCCTTTTAAATGCTATGGCTCTGAACGTATGATCTTGCTGTGCCTTTAAGGTAGCGACAGTAACCTTTTTGTTTGCCCCCTTCACTGGTTCAGGTGGAATAGGTGTACATGAAAGACATAAACAGGCGGCAAGACGTAGTGCAGATGGTAATAAACTTTGTGAATTACCACTTGAAGGAAAAAAATGAAAGTTGCTCACCAGATATCTCTGTATGTATGGGTAAGAATTTTGCCTAGCACTGCACTATTCCACTGTGTGCACATTAAGGGGATTATTATCTAAACTTAGTTATCACACAAAGTGGTGGTTATAGATATATACATTCATACAGATATACATACATACATTCATACAGACAGACATTCATACAGACATAGACATACATAGATAATGACATACAGACATACATTCATTCATACAGACATTCATGCAGACATACATAATGACAGACAGACATTCATACATCCAGACATTCATACAGACATACATTGATATTGGCATACATACATACAGACACACATACACAAAGCTCATTTCTCAGCCACCCTCCTGTCTCTTACCTTTTCTTCGCAGGAGGGTGGCTGGGGCTCATAAGAGTCGGTCGGCTCTCCCTCTTCACAGCCTGGCTGGCGGTCCTCCCACGCTGGAGTGAGCTGGGAGGAAGTGACCACTTCCTCCCAGCAGCACTTGCTGTGGCTGCATTTTTTTTTTTTTTTTTTAAAAGGGCCCGGTCGTGCTATTACATGGCCACAGCGCTGATCGGGCCCCTGAAGATATAGGGCCCATCGGGTGGCCCAGAATAGACCCTGTCAGCGTGCGGTCCCCGGTGCAACTGCACCAGCGTCAGTCCTGCCGCTACAAGTGTGGCCCGGGCAGCCGGGGCCCCTAGCCTGTGACAACCGTCATGGTTGTCAACCCCTGATGGCGGCCCTGATGACATGTGCCCCCGTGCTGTATATTTAATTAGGGACCTCACCCACTTTTCTGAAAAGGCAGTGCTTACATGAAAAAGTCTGCAGGGATGAACTATACACACCAGAAAAACTACATTAAGCTGTAATTGTTCTGGTTACTATAGTGCCCCCTTGACATTAGGCCACCATCCAATTTGTGATGCCTGGAGTACTGTTACCCTGTAAGGAGGCAAGACTTTTTACAATGGTTTGACAATTTTTAGGGTCCCACTTGGTGACAAGCAAACATGAATGGCATCTAAAAGACACCTGCATTGGTCCTTAGGACTAGAGGCTGTGGATTACAGCTGGGATATTCTCTAATCTGGAGGGAAGGCAAGCAGACCTAAAAAGAAAAAGAAAATTAATTCCCACTCCTAGCTTCTCCTCCCCTAGGTATATAATACCTCTCTTACCTTAAATCCCCAGTAAATACACAAACATAAATTACTGCAAAGTAATTTATTAAATAGGGAGGGAAATAGGCTTTTTAATCCTAAAGAAAAAGTTCCCCCTCCAGACTAGAGGCAGTGCACTACAACTGGCATTAAAAAAAAAAAAAAAAAACATCTCTAAAGAGCGTTACTTCACTGCTGCTTGCAACATCTTGCTCATAGAAACTGAATCTTATGAGGCCTGTATGTCCAATCTGTAAAGTTTGGAAAACGTTTGAAGAGAAGGTCATGTTGCTGCCTTGCATATCTAAGATGGAGTTGCGGCAGCTCTAAACGTCTATGACGTAGAAATAGCCATGGTATAATGGGCTTTTAATTGCATAGGAGGATGACCTTTGTTCTGCCTCTGAAAGAGGACAAACAATCTATCAGATCTTCTAAATGCTTTAGTTTTCTCTGTATTTAACTGTAAGTTGTGTTCGACATCCAGCAATTAAATTTTTGTTCAGTGGCCTACTGAGGATTTTGACAGAAGGTGAGAATGATTAATTTTCTGATTGATGTTTGCTTTTTTCCCCAAAAAAGGATGGACTCTAAGAATGCAATCTAAGGACCACTTTATCCAAATGAATGACTAGATAAGGAGGAGATGTAGACATTGCTTGTAGTTCACTTAGCCACTTGGAAGATGTAACTGCAATCAAAAATATTGTGTTAAAAGTGAGGATTTTAAGACTAACTGAATCTATTGGCTGAAAAGGGGCCACACACATTGCTGATAGAACCAGGTTCAAATCCCAAGGAGGCATGAGTTCTCTGATGGTGGGCAGAAGATTGGAAATTGCTCTGAAGAATTTGGTAATTCTGGGATCTGAAGCGGAGTCTCTTATGGCAAACAAACTTATTGCCGTTATCTGAACCTTCAGGGTAGCCTGACAGAGACCCTTGGCAAAGCCCAGTTACAGAAATGCAAGAATTTGAGGAATTGGGGCAGATAAGGGCTCAATGCCTATACTGCTGCACCAGTCACAGAATGTATTACAGACTCTTACAATGTGAGATGCAGACTCCTTATTAGCTGCCACACTAACAAGTCAAGATCTTGCATTCAGACTCCATACTGTCAACTGGAATGTTGTAAGAGTCTTCAGAGAGACCAGGTTGTGCTCTAGCATATTCTTTGTTATTGGAATCTTCCAGAAAGTATTGGTGGACAGGTTGAGGAGGACTGAAAACCAGCTTCATCATGGTCAAAAAGGGAGAATGTCAATAACCTTTGCCCTAACTTTCTGTAACACTCTGGGTATCATCATGATTGGAGGAAAGATGTATGCCAGACGAAAGTTCGACTGGAAAGCCATTGCATCTAGGAAATCTGTGTTGCCTCTAAAGTGTATTGATGCAAATCTTTGAATCTTCTAGTTTTCTTTTGTAGCCATCACGTCTATATCTGTCATTCCGAATACCTTCACAATGTATCGAATAATTAGAGGCGATAGAGACCAATCTCCCTGTTTCCAGTGATCCCTGCTTAGAGCGTCCACCAGGTAATTTCTTTCGACTTTGATGTGCACTGCTGGAATGGACAGGAGATGACTTTCTGACCAAAGCATGCTAATTAAAAAAACTTTTTCTAAAAGGACTGAACAAGTTCCCCCTTGTCTGTTTAAACATGCCATCGATGTGGTGTTTTTTATTCTTATTTGTATGTGTCTTCCCTGGATTCTGTGTTAGTAGAAGAGAAGTGCCAGCCAAATTACCTTTAATTCTCTGAAATTGGCTGATTTCTTTGAATCTTGAATATTCTATATCAGGCTTCCCCAAACTTTGGCCCTCCAGATGATGCTGAACTACAACTCCCATGATTCTCAGCCTCATTCACAGGATCATGGGAGTTGTAGTTCAGCAACATCTCGAGGGCCGGAGTTTGGGGAAGCCTGCTCTATATGTTCCTTCTCTACCCAGATGTGCACCAGAGCCACTCCTGGAAGCATCTGCTGTTAAAATACCAAACTGTAATACTTTAGGAAAACATCATGTGGAACTCAACCGCAGATGAATGAATTTGACACTGTCACTTTAAGAAAGTTAAATTTATTGAAATGAAGTAAATTAACTTGGCAATCTTCTGCAGCACTGATTATTGGAAATAATAATGCATAATAAATGGCAATCTTGCTTAGTATAACTTCAACAGAGATAGTATTCAATAGAAATAAATAGACAAGGTAACTCCTTAATTAGGAAAATAAAATATAGTCCATTAGAAAACAAATAAGGAATTGGAAGAACAGGTTATTCCTGTTTTAGGAATGTAACAGTCTTTTTGGTTGCTAAAGTAAATGTTGAAATTAAGGTATATCCTGATTTGGATAAATAGTTCTAGTCCTTTTAGACTCCAATAATAAATTAAACAATTTAGAAAGTAGCATTCAGCTTTAATGGAATTTCAATGGCTTTCAATAAAGCCAACATGTGATAATAGAATCCCAGAGGGCAGATATTAGTATCCCCTCTTCCTTCAAAATAAACCTAAGGCTTGAACCAATTATTAATCCCAGTAACTGGAGAATTTATCTTGCTTTCTTTGGATGATACACATGAAAGTCCTTTCCAGAATAGAGTGGATTATGGTTCCCTGTAGTACATGGAGGAATTCGTGGTGAAGTAGGTTTCTAATCTGGGAGAGGTGAAGCCAGCGTAGTCAGGATCAATCAAGAGAGGTTCGGTACACAGGTAATCAAATAGAGGAGCTCCCTCAGCAATTAGCAAAAAAGTAGCAAGTATCAAAGTTGCAAAATGATTGAGCGCCTGAAATCAGCTGCAGCTTCCTTTTAACACCGGTATTGAGGACATCAGAAACATAGGTAGGGCCTGATCGGTGATTAATGATAGTGGAAATCATTATACAAACTTTTTTAGTTGAAATGAAAGACCTGACAGGAACTAGGAAGATGTCCAACAATTTAGGATTTTTGGAGTGGAGGGCAGATAAATCAAGTGGTCCACTGAAGAGGTGTTTCTCTTTGAGACTGAAAGTTCTTTTGTACGGGTCTCATTCTTACTTTGGCCCAGTTTACTGTCGGAGTGGCCGCTGTGAACAGACCAAGGAGACTCCTTATGGAACAGACCTTCTTTGTAACACAAAAACTGAGTTTCTGTTTTTTTCTTGTATTTTAGAAGAAAGATTTTCATATTTATGGCATCCAAGATAAGACCTAGAAATTGGATTAAACGAGTTAGTTCTGACTTTACTGTGTTTATGATCCAATCATGATTGCGTACCTTTGGTTTATGGCAGCATGCTTCAGACATATCCAAGGACTGAAACAGGGAGGACCACAGCAACTGACTTTTTCAAAAACACAATTTTTCCTACAAGATGTAAATAGGGTTTGTTTGCAAAGCAGGTCTTATCCTTCTGCTATTTGAAGAACAGGGGGGAGGTGACCAGTGAGGGCTTTATGGTTTGTCATTAAAATATATACATGCATATTTAGAATTTTTACAAGATTTTAAGTACACAAAAGGACTACAAAACTGAACAAAATTAGAATTTTAATGTTGGTCCTTATCCACATTCTTAAGACAGTCTGCTATCCTGTTGCAAAATAGTTTACTTCCATATATACACACACACACATTATATTCCCTATCACATTAACATTTTTAGTAAATTCCACTACCATCAACAAAACCAGATATATTCTTGTAGATCAGACATCTACATGAAGTCAAAATGCAGACAGTAAATATATAGTCAATTAAAGACTCAAGACACAATGCATCAGAGACAACTTGATTAGTAGTCATAGGCTTTGTTATTGCCCAGTTTAGTACTTATTCTTGGAAGTGATATGTGGGGGGAGGAGGTGACAGTTTAGAAAGAATAACTTTAAACAATAATAGTTTCCTTAGAACACCGTGTTTTGGTTAGAGTAACCATTTAAACAGAACTGAACACAGTATGTTTGCATAGCTTTGTCCAGCACCCTAATTCAATTTATTACCACTTTTTTTTCTCACGAACAGCAGAGCCAGCACTATTTATTGAAGCAGGTAAATGACTGCACACAGCAATATTTCAACATTACATAGTGATATATTGTGTCGGGTACAAAACATGCCTTAAAATTGGTACATAGAGAGGGGCAAGGCTGCATATAAATATATTTTCCTGGCCTTTTCTATTTCCCAGATTCCTAAAAATAATGTATACATCCAATATGAAGAAATAAATCTAAACATTTCCTTCTTAATTGCCTTCCTAAATAAACAGAAAAGCAGTCAAGTAAGTCCTATTTTGTGATGTCTGAAGGCAAAATGATTTGGATTTTGAAGTTGTTGAAGAATACAAGAAATGTAATTAAAATGTAGATAAGCAAATATAAAAATATGTTGAAATTCTAAAACTGGAATTGTGAAGTATTCTAGACATTTGTTAAGGTTACTACGATATACTTTCCACAAATATTTCTATAAAAATAGATAAAATAAAAGCAAGCTTTTTATTTAGGCATTTTAGGTTATAAAAAAAAATATGTACAATATAAATAGATCACAACATAGACTCTTGAAGATACAGAATGGTGAGTATTGAACGAACATTTGGTTTTGTGGGTCACTTTTTAATCTTCAAAAAGAATAGAACAAGTGAGAACTTGCATTGGCTCCATGCATTTTTTTTTTTAGCAAGTGCTAAAAGTGAGTCTAGTTACATTTTGTTAGCTGGTCTGTGTACTAGTCTTCTGGTTATATCTTTAGATTATTCTCTGTGAAAGATCCACTCCATTTCTGCATAACATACTGCACATTTTTTTTTCCCCATTTACAAATTTTGTTCTCAGAAGAAGTCTGATGCTTTCCGTCGTTTCGGAAGATGTAGCAAATCATCTGTAATGGAGGTGGGATCAGGAACTACTGGGGTTTGGGAATCTGTTCTTGTGGTGGGTGTAATGTTTGGTGTGTTGCCAAGACCTCTAGGAGTTTTATAGGATGGAGTGCCTGTGTGTGCAGGGGACGGTGTATAACTGGCTCTCAGAGCCTTGTCAGTGTATTTACTTGAAGTCCTGTTCACTAAGCGTTGCAATGCAGGTGATAATGATGGGTTGAGTCCTTTGGGTGTCAGGCTGTTAAAAAATAAAAATAAATAAATAAGGGAGTCATTCTGCACAAGATCACATTATCAAACTAAATTGTAAACACACTCAAACTAATGAAACACATTTAAGACGAATTAAATGGCACTGTCCCTTCAAACCCTACGCACCTTTTACTAGTAATATTACACTTTAGACACTCACCACACCACAAACAGAGAGCAGAGAGGCATTTCGATCATCCAGGTTTCTAAAGCCCGGTTAAGCATTCTGTACTGGCTTGCACTTATTTTCAAATGATCAGAAATCTTGGTGCCCCTTTCTGACATACACATACAAAACATATAAACCAATAATTTGAAGAAAGAGATACACAATGCCAAGCACACAGTTGACACTATACACTGCTCCAACTAGATATACAGGGTTGTTCACTACTGTGAGAATTGTTAAGAATCCAAAATGAGAATGGCTACCTTGGTCTAGATATAAAAAAAGGCATGAATATAACTGATATTTAACCTTGTGACACTAGTGCTAGATGACCAGAAGTAGTTGAGACATATATAGAAAGAAAGAAATATAATGAAACGTTTAACCCCTTAAGGACTGAGCCAAATGTACACGTAATCAAAACAAACAGAACCTTGCGCTATATGTCTGTTCAGGCGTAATTCACCTCTTTCATCTTATGTGCACCCACACTTATTATATATCATTTTATTCAGGGGAAATAGAGCTTTCCTTTAACATCAAATATGTAGGTATGAAACATAATTTAATATGAATAAAATATTTTTCAAAATGGGAGAAAATAAGAATTTAAATTTTTTTTAGTTCTATGTGACATTTTAACTGTGAATGTCGGTTTGCTTTTACTGCAATAAAATACACATATTTGTATTCAGCGATGTCTCGCGTGTAAAACAGTACCCACTATGTACAGGTTTTATGGTGTTTTGAGAAGTTACAGGGTCAAATATAGCATATTAAATTTTTTTCACATTGAAATTCACCAGATTGGTTATGTTGCTTTTGAGACCGTATGATAGCCCAGGAATGAGAATTACCCCCATGATGGCATACCATTTGCAATAGTAGACAACCCAAGGTATTGCAAATGGAGTATGTCCAGTCTTTTTTAGTAGCCACTTGGTCACAAACACTGGCCAAATTTAGTGTTAATATTTTTTTGTGTGTGAAAAATGCAAAAAAACTAATTTGAATGCCAATTTTGGTCAGTGTTTGTGACTAAGTGGCTACTAAAAAAAAAATTCAATGTGAAAAAACAAACGCAAGCCTTATATTTGACCGTCACTTTTGAAAACACCAAAAAACCTGTACATGAGGTGTACTGTTATACTCGGGAGACTTCGCTGAACTCAAATATTAGTGTTTCAAAACAGTTAAACGTATCACAACAATTATATCGTCAGTGTAAGTGCCATTTGTGTGTGAAAAATGCAAAAAATGTCACTTTCACTGACAATGTCATCGATGTGATATGTTTTACTCTTTTGAAACACTAATATTTGTTTTCAGCGAAGTCTTACGAGTAAAACAGTACACCCCCATGTACAGGTTTTATGGTGTCTTGGAAACTTACAGGGTTAAATATAGTGCTAGCAAATTAAATTCCTTGGACTTTTGGCATGGGTTATCAGGCAGGTCCCGCAAATTGTAATGAATAAAAATGACCTAATTATGTAAAAGGATTCATATACACACACACACACACACACATACCTACCTACATACATTCACACACAAATACATGCATGGGATAGTCATAAGGCTATCCTAGACTTAAGATAAGGTCAGGGACTAATTAAAAGTATTATTGGGCAGACTAGATGGGCTGAATGGTTCTTATCTGCCGTTACATTCTAAGTTTCTATATATATAATTTTTTTAAATGAGATTATATTAATATATATATACTTATGTATATAGATATATATATTATTTCGTTCTACGTGTATTATGATATCAATATATATTCATTTTAAAATACAATACACCATATGGTACAGCATATCCAGCTTTGGGAAGAACCCAGCCAAAGTCCAATCAGTGATCCATTCAAGGCATGCAGTCCGAGCCAGCTTTATAAGTGGCTCCACTTATTTGAGTCAGACCAACACAGAATTTCAAAAGTGTTTTATTTAAAACCTTTTTACCCTATGTTGTTTTTTGTTTAATTTCAGAGGTTGACTTCATTTTGGGTAATATTATTCTAATCCTTTTGAGTGCTCTCACCATTCTGTTAACCAATCATTTTAAAATACAGTTAGAACGAAATTACACATATATATTTATTTTTTATTATTTTATTTTTTAACGTATTTTACATATTCATTTATTTTATATATATATATATATATATATATATATATATATATATATAAAATCAATATCATTCTATGTGTATTTTGATATTAATATATATTAAAATACACTTAGACAGTGTGTGTGTGTGTGTGTGTGTGTGTGTGTGTGTGTGTGTGTGTATATATATATATATATATATATAAAAAATTATTTTTTTTACATATATTTAGATCATATATATATAATAAATATATGATCTAAGTATTTATTTAATTTTAAACTGTGTATTTCACTTTTTATTTTACATTTTACAGGCAGCAGGGGGAGTACCTGTAATTACAGGCACTCCCCCTTCTGGCAATGCTGTGGACGGCTATGCCGTCCATGTGATCGTGAGGTCCTCGCAAGGACCTCGCGATCACATGGCTCAGTAGGGCCAGATCGGCAGCAGGTGGACTCCCTGGGATGCCAGGTGAGTCCCCACCACCGCGATCGTTGATGGAAATGTTAAATGTAATATATGCAACCAAGTGCATGACTGTATGTCTTATTGGATATATATTGTATCTGATGTTTTAACTGTTTTTGTATACAGAAGAAAATTACAATAAAAAGATATTAAATAAAAAAGAATCCAAAATGAATATCAAATTTAAGGCAAAACCCTCAGCTATACTTCTATTTTGCCCTAATTTGAAATTCACTTGGGATTCCAACAATTTGTCACTATAGTTATTAACCTCGACAGTTACACACTGCCAGTCTCACACATTCTGAATTAATATCCACCTTCCTGTTTGCCTCCATTTCTGCTGAAAGAAGGGTAATGTACTCACTTTGCCAGGTTTTCTGTCACTTTCCGTAAGGCTTCCTGCTTCTTTGCTCTGTTCTTCGCTGCTGCCTCAGTTGCCATTTTAAGTCCCAAACGTTCCCTTCGTCCTGGCTCAAGAATCTAAAACAGATTTAAAAAGAACCAATATCAGCTTGGAAGGAACATAAACATTTCATTGCTGGCCGAATAAAAATGCTAGGTAACATCAGTAATATAAGCACAAGGCTTAAACATATGCAAATTTAACATAATTAAAAGAGGGTGAATACATTTTTCCCCCAACAGTGCTTTGCTTTACAACTAGTCACCTTAAATGAAGGACCAGGTGTCTTCTCTAAATATGGGGTTTCTGACCCATCAAGCCTGAAGGGAGTACTCTCAACTTCTCCCCATGTCATTAGAGGGGAGTCATTTACTCCTGTAATGGAAAGGAACAGATAGAGAGAAAAAAAAAAAAAAAAGAAATAATCAAACGTTGTCCAAAAATCATAACAAATAATTTTAAGTGGCACGATGATGTTACATTTTTTTAAATATGTTCATATGTGATAAAAAGGAATAACAGAATCTATTGGAATCATTTACATGTTTTACATTGACTGCTAATTTCTTAAGATGCAGAATCATTAAGAAGGTTTTATTTTATTTCTGATTCCTCATTGCACAACACTTTCATTTTATTGAAAATCTGTAAAAATCTCCAGAATGTTAAAGGATCACTATAGGGTCAGGAACACAAACATGTATGCCTGACCCTATAGTGCTAAACCCCCCCTTAACCACCTCACATATGTTTTTGCTGTTGATCCAAAAGAAGGCAAAAAACCTAGTCTGAAGCGCTTCCAATTTTGCAACAAACTAGGAAAAAATTCCTTCTTGATCCCTAAAACTCACCAAGGATCTGCCATGTTAGCTACGCCCCCTTGGTGACATCACAATCATTGGAATGGCTAAAATCAGTAAGGGGGCGGGGCCAGACACTGTTTTTTTTTCCCAATCAGGACCTCCTCATAGAGATGCATTGAATAAATGCATCTCTATGAGGAAAATTCAGTGTCTCCATGACGCTGAACGGTAGAGCTGCTTACTATGCAGCCCTGAGCCAAGAAGCCCATCTGAGGAGTGACCACTTGGAGGTGTCCCTAGGGGCAAAGTAAACACTGCCTTTTCTCTGAAAAGGCAGTGTTCACATGAAAATTCCTGAAGGGAGCTATTGTACTCACCAGAACAACTACATTAAGCTTCTGGTGACTATAGTGTCCCTTTAATGACAAGAATTTTGCAAATGTTTTGTTGACATGCCCTGTTAAAGTGTAATGTATTGCATCTGTTAGAGCATTAGTATAGAAGTTAATACCTCCAAACACAATGTAACAAGTATTATCTGGATATGTTACAATGGGTTGTAGTTTCACAGTTCTGAAGAAGCAGTGTTCAATAATCATTGTATAGTATATCGGAGGATGTAAAGCTTTCCATTTACATATGCACATGATTTGGAATCTTGTACATTTCATTTTGCATTATAGCCAAAATCTCAGTATATTTCTGCAGCTTGTCATCTTTGGTAACTAAATACCTTTTTCTCTTCTCGTTTTGTTCTTCCTTTTCCCAGAGTAGCACTGGCTATTTCAAGAGTCTGTCAGTTGTTTTTTTAAAATCTGGCTGCATGTTAATATTCATTTTCAACTACCTAAAAACTGGTCCTTTATATTGTAAATGTAGGAAGTATTTCAAATTCACTGTTCTCATGGTTATCCTTTCCATGTGACAAAGCCTGAATGTGAATGGACAGTCTTTGCTTTATAACTTGATTGACAAGGTGAGATGAGCCAACAATTACACCAAAAGTATAGTTAATTGAAAAACAAATTGCAAAATAAATCAAAATATAGAGAATTTGGAACATTTTGGAAAAGACAGCAATAGTCACAGCTATTTTAGACTAAATTTTGCAATTTGGTTTTCAATTCCCTATAATTCAGTGTTTAGAGAATAAATTCCATAGATGGGAATATTCACTAAACTGTGAAGATTTGGGAATTGACAAAGGGATTTCAAATTTTAGACCAATACAGCCAAATTAAAAGCATTCTTCAAGAAATGTGAAACCGAACTTCCTAACCTTGATTTTACCTGAAGCCCACAATTAGGATTGAAGATTGTTAAGGTGAGTAAACTCTCACACAAATGTATTTCACTTGCACTATTATTACAGGCATAGAAATGTGTAAAAGAAATTATTATTAGGATGCAGGTTCAAGGCTTGCTCCTCTCCAGCCTAATGATGCACTGCATTAACAGTGCTTCACACCATGTCAACATTTATATAAAGAAGAAACCCTAGTGTCCAACAGTTTGGAAAGTTGTAATACTAGGAGATGTCCCTGCCAAATTACAACCCTATAAATAAGTGCTCATATGAGCAAATGGAATCTCCCCTCCATGCACTGTCACTTTCTATCTTTTGTGAACATGTAAAAATGAAGCCTAATGAAGCAGATGTTTGCCGTTCGATTCCCCCCACTACAGGCCACTAAGAGATTATATATTTTGATTTTTTTCAAAGTTTCCTTATTATAAATATAAATTGTCATATATACATACCTGGAACAGGGGAAGGTGTGGCAACAAATCCAAATCCATTAACTTTAGGAGATTCTTGAGGTATTAGCTCCTTCCCATCCGGACCAACTTTCCCCTGCTTGTACTAAATATAAAAATATATTATTGTCAATGTGATAATACTTTTGTTCCTGTATGGTACTTTTCAAAATTGTGTATCATACTCAAATTTTCTTTTCATCATCATCATTCGTTTTACAGTGGGGTAACTCCTATATCTCAGAATGAAACCCTAGATAGACACAGCACTCATCCAACCTTCCAAGGTGTATGAATGCCATGCTGTCACTGTTAGTAGCAAAAATGAATAATTTATCACTTTTCTGGTAACAATGACAGCATTACCTCATAGTCTGCAAGCCTAGTGACAAACTTTCCAATTCAAGTAGTTTGCCACATGCATATGGTCAGATGAAAATCTTTAAACACGTTTCTCTCTTCTAATGGGTAGGCAATTAAATGGAGTATTGTGAGTGTCTGAGAACCTACTTATGTATGTATACCCATGAAAGGGAGTAATAGCAAGGTGAGCGAGTGCCTTGATACGTGTGTGTGAGTGAGAGGCAAGTTATGCATGTGTGTGTCTGTTTTGCTTATTCAGTCACCCATATGTCACAATGACTAAAATCTGGAACGAAGTAGCAGCCTGCTCCATTGACACATCTTAACAAAGACAATAAGATGTTGAAATATTGTCAAGTTAGCGTTGTTGGATACTTTAAAAAGCCTGCCAAATTGTTTTACAGCAAAATCTATAATGAATCCACCGTTGAAATTTCCCAATAGATTGCCTTTGAGAGAATTTACTACCTATACAATTACCCAAGTCTCACAAACAGGCTGTCAGTGATACATTATATAGTAAATACTCCTCCCCATGAGGTACTCTTGACGTTTGCACACTCAAGCCACCAGAAACCGGGTAATTTGTTTTTTTTTTGTCCCATTATATTTTTGTTTGCAGTTAAATATTTTTTCATCACGTGGCGATACAAATGAACCCTGCAAATGGGATAGAGAAACACACACACACACACACCTGGCGACAACTCTCCAGAGTTAAAAAGTGATCTCTACAAAGATATCCCTACATAGAGCAGTGTAAGAAAGCACACCCTTGCACGCTACGCAACTCACCAGGTGCCCCTGCCTCCCTAAGTAGGCAACACATCTGTTTTACACCCTCAGATACCTTTGCCAGATGATGTAGCCCCCCCCCCCCTTTTTAAAACATCATGAAACCACGCCCACTTTGTAACACCATCAACACAAAATTGCATCATTGCTGTCGTCTATTCAAGTTTTAGGGGCATGGCTATCAAAGAAAAGGCACCGGCTTACAAATACTTGAGTTCAGTACCTTGTTTGTTTCCTTTTTGGCAATCTGAGAGCTTGTTCCTTTATTGGTTGTTTATTGATCCCTGCTTGTCTCTACCATTCTGACTCTGGAATTCCTGACCATTGGCTTGTTTTGTTTTTCGATTTTGTTATCACTGATATTTAGCTTTATTTTGACATTTCTTATTCTATGTACTTTTTATATAATGCCCAAAGATCCAATAATACACGTCTGTCTATTTTCCTTGTCCTATAGAAACATAGAATGTGACGGCAGATAAGAACCATTCAGCCCATCTAGTCTGCCCAATTTTCTAAATACTTTCATTAGTCCTAGCCTTATCTTATAGTTAGGATAGCCTTATGCCTATCCCACGCATGCTAAACTCCTTTACTGTGTTAACCACTACCACTTCAGCTGGAAGGCTATTCCATGCATCCACTACCCTCTCAGTAAAGTAATACTTCCTGATATCATTAGTCCTGTGTGACTATTCTGCATGCTAGGTGACAGCTTGTCCTGACAAGTACTGATTGGAGCTCCAGGTGAGAAAGAAACCCACTAGGGAAAGAATATGCCTTGTGGGCCAAAACACCAATGCTCAATCAAAGGTCTTTGTCCACTGCTGTATAACAAATTAAAAGGTGGAAAGGGAGGGAAAAAAAAAAAAAATCAAAAATAGAAGGGCAAGAAAATCTGTTCATCAGACTTCCACAGGAGTAAGAAACAGGACAGAGAGAGAGGTGGAGTCTAAGTACCTGTGCATTTAAAGCTGCTGCCTGCTGGAGCTGGGATTTACTAAGAGCTTGGCTGAAAGGGTCTTTCTGGAAACGTGTGTTTCTATGTAGAACTTCCCGTGGTTTTTTGAATATTGCATCATTATCAGGGACACCTAAAAAAAAAAAAAAAAGGTAGGTTCTATGCATATTCGAATAAACAAATATGGGGAAAAATAGCATTTGGTAGGACAGGTAACAAAATCATGAAGAAAATTTGATTCTTCTCATAATTCATATTTTATTTTGCTTTGATTTATTACTACAAACTCATCAGACATGATTAATGATGCAGAGGTGTTATTTTTAATCAGTTACATTACCTCCTATTTTGTGTTCATACGGAGAGCATCTCTGCCAGGTTCCTAAAATGGTTACTAGTACTATTTCTTTATTAGTTATTATATAAACTCAAAAAGGGCCTTGTTTTATCAGAAAAACAATTCTTTAATAAAAAAAATAAAATCACAAAATATCACTGAATCTTTTGCTCCTCGCATATTTTTCACTGAATTGCTAGTGGTAAAGCCAATCTGATAGAGATATATATACATACATTATATATATATATATATATATCAAGGTAAATTTCATCTGTTGCTTTATTGAGCAATTACAAATTCACACAACGTTCCAGTCGACGTTTCAGTCTGTAAAAGACTTTTACAGACTGAAACGTTGACTGGAACATTGTGTGAATTTGTAATTGCTCAATAAAGCAACTGATGAAATTTACCTTGAAAGACTCCTGAGTGCTCTCTACTGGTATTGTATACAATTTGGTTGGAGACAGCACCGGAGCATTAAAAGACCGGGAGCATTGAGTGCTGGGACGTGTGTGTGTATAAAATATTTTTTTTGCTTTATCATTATAAGGTATTGATTGTAAATTGATGCAAAAAAAATAAATTAAATTTTTTTAAAAAAAAAGCATTTACACAATTAAACCTCAAGGCTGTAACATTAAAAGGGTCTAAATATTTTACAAATGCACTTGTTTGTTTATAAATAAACAGCATGTAAAATCATAGACAGTTATGTGAAAATACCTGCAGGATAATACATCAAAGAATTGTGGGTCTTGTATTCCCAAGTATCCAGGCCAGCCTTTCCACACTCAATGGCCTGTTTCTCCATGGACGGTAGTGCCAAGTTCTCTTGTTGCCGCTAACAAAAGAAGCAGAATTACTGAAAAGTAATTATTATTATATTTGTATTAAAGAGACACTAAAGGTATCAAAACAACTTTATCCTAATAAAGCAGTTTTAGTGTGTAGACCACTGCTCTATTCTCTACCATTTAAGAATTAGATCACGTTTGTTTCAATCCATGCAGCCATAGCCAAATATCCACTGGCTGTGACAGGCACAGCAGCATGAAATAAAATTAAAAAAAATTGTTTCATTTTTACCCAGATGTTAACTTGATAAGAAGTTTTTATCTCCTGCTCTGTAAATTGAACTTTAATCACGCACAGGAGGCTCATGCAGCATCTAGAAGGCTTTTAACAATTCAAAAGAAAAAACTATTCTAAATGAAACAGAATGCGATATAAAAGAAGTAAAAACATTAGATATCTCTTTACATGATGTGTTTTGGAAAGCTGTGTAGGTCACAAGCAAGGTGCCATTTTCTCATATTTGAAAATGGTTTGACATCTTATCTGTGGATCGACAGGTGCTGCTCTTCACTTCCACTACTAATGCTGGAAAGAGGGAACCTCCGTTAGCTATCCTGATCTACAACGCAGGACTTTTTTTTTGGCTGAGAGCATCAGCTGACCACTCAGCTAATATGCTTTAATAAATATTAAATACAAACTTTTAAATCTAATACATTGTCTGCATTTGAATATTTACCCTTAGAGAAAGAAGCCAGTTTTATACTTTTGAAACCTGAACTGTTGCAATGCAAGGGGGGGGAGGTTCTGGACAAAGCTGCCATATGGTATTTTGTGCAATAAATCTGTGAAGAGGATCGACTGTCTGTTATTTTCTACCCCAGGAGGGAGTGATATTTGGGGAGTGATATTTGGGGAGGGAGGGAGGGAGGGGGAAGGGGAAAAGGGAAGGAAAGGAAAGGAAGAGAGATAGAGATATATATATATATATATATACACACACACACACACACACACACACACATATACATAGATAGATACATGGAGATAACCAGCATAAGAATTTTAGAGGGAGTGTTTTGTGTATTTTAATCACAGTTTTGCATATATGTGCACAATATATGTGTTATGAAATATTATACACTATAATGCAAATTGCACATTAAATCACTTGCTGCACTTTAAAATAACTTTTTGTCTTAAAGACACAGCGCACCTATATAGATTTCTTGTATTTATTGTGTGTTTTTTTGAGCTGTAACACTGTTTAGAGTGCTGCTCTTTTACAAAAACTTTGTCGCGTCCTATAAATTTCATTAGAGGCCTTTTATTATAAGCGCATTTATATTCACTTGTTTGTTTTTCAGCAATTTCAAATATGGTTTGACTATTTACAAGGAAGGGGAAAATTGACACTAGAGAACTCGTGACACCAAAACCACAATAATAAGCTGCAGTGGTTATGGTGCTTGGAGAGTTACATTAATTCCCTTGCCTGGGGAAGTTCAGAATTTCCAGATCACTTTAGATACCTTTTTGTATTCCTCCTCAGCTTCATAAAGCCATGCATTTCGACTTCGCTCCTTCTCCTTTGCCACCTCCATGATCTGTTCAAATGAAGCATTATCCTCACTTGTGTGTTTTGCCAGAAAGTTGTCCAGGCCAGGGAGCTCGTCTCCATCTTCATCTGTTTTCTCACTAACTAGTTCAACAACAAAAAAACAAACTGATCAGCATAAGAGTAGTGGCCAATATAGATCATTACAAACCTTTGAATATATTTAAAGATAAAGATATTTTAAGGCAGCTTAGTCACTGAGATTAAAAGCAGATTTTGCTTTTACATGATTCATTTTTTTTGTCCCTCTATTTCTATTTGTTTTTTTGGTTCACTACACTTTTTACAACTGGACAAATTACAAAATATTATACAAATAACTAGAATACATGTTGATTTGCTATTTTGAGAAAGAGATGGGGAGATATAGCAGCAAACAACTGTTCTGTCCTAAATGTAGCTATATTTTCTGCTTTGTCTTAACAGGGTTCTCAAAGCAATCTCACAAGGAGGAATGGAATTAATGTATAGGAATATTTTACAGTGCTCACAATCCAAGCCTTATTCACTTTACACAACATTTACAAAGGTAAACCTATATTTTACTAAAAACAAAAACACACTATCTTCAAATGTTTACCTATTTGGACAGAAGTATAATGCACTGCAGCAAGTACCGTACTCATCTCTACTAAGCTGTGCATTACATACAAAATTATATAATTAAAGGAACACTATTGTCACCTAAACAACTTTAGCTTAATTAAACAGTTTTAGTGTATATAGATCATGCCTCTCAAGTTTCACTGCTCAATTCACCGCCATTTAGGAGTTAAATCACTTTGTTTCTGTTTATGCAGCCCTTGCCAAACCTCCCCTGGCTATGATTGACACAGCCTGCATGAAAAAAAAAAAAAAAAACTGGTTTCACTTTCATTTAGATGTAATTTACCGTAAATTTTTTTTCTCTTGCTCTGTAAATTGAACTTTAAATCACATACAGGAGGCTCGTGCAGGGTCTAGCAAGCTATTAGCATAACAGGGGATAATAAAATCTAAATTAAACAGAACTTGCAATGAAGAAAGGATAAACTTTAGATGACTATTTACAGGAAGTGTTTAGGAAGGCTGTGCAAGTCACATACAGGAAGGTGTGACTAGGGTTCATAAACAAATTGATTTAACTCCTAAATGCCAGAGAATTGAGCAGTGAGGCCGCATGGGGCATGTTCTATACACCAAAACTGCCTCATTAATCTAAAGTTGTTTTGGTGACTATAGTGTTCCTGTGTCAGGACATACAATCCTGTAAATGGAAATGTGGATAAAATGAAACGTTAGATCTATTAAAACATTAAGAATATCTCACCTTCATCGCCTAATCCACGTTTAGCAATTAAGGACGGTGTACCTGGGACTCCAGATGGTGTTTCAAATGTGGCTGGTGTGATATCTTAATTTGAAGAAAAGAAACAAAAAAAAAAGCAGATACATTTTATGTAAAGATTCCGAAGATGTACAAGAAACAGTTGAGGGTGGACCAGATACTATTTATGGCAAAGGTGTATTTTATGCCACCTAGCCTGGTTGTCACTAATATCTTTAAACTTCCCTGTTTGGTTTATAGCGTTCATTTAATACAAAACCTACAAATGGAAATTTCTACTCAATCATTAAATGTGAATACTCCTCAGTGCAACCACAGGTGTCGTGCTTCATTAATATTTAGATCTGAACACAAGATTGGCATATAAATCTCACCTGGAAAACATGCAATTAAAAGGACCACATCATCTCAAAGTGGCCCTGTAGTTTTAGCCTAAAGTGGCCCTACAGTTTGAAAAAACTGCAATGTTTACATTGCAGGGTTAAACACACCTCTGGTAGCTGTCTTCCACTTAAGGTGCTTCTGCAGCAATAATTGAGTGGAACTCTGTCATGTGACCAATACTTTCAGAGAAAAGGTAGTTTTTACATTAATGCCTAGGGACACCTCTATTGGCAGTCACTTAGACGGCCACTAGAGATGCTTCCTGGGTCAGTGTCGGACGTTCAGCGTCTCCACGCTGTGCATGAAGAACTTTCCCCATAGAGATGCATTGATTCACCTTTCCCCATAGAGATGCATTGATTCAGGATGCTGATTTGCCATTGAGTTATTTGGCTCCACCACCTTCCTGGCTGAGATTATCAGAATTGACAATCGCAGCCAATCCAATGCTCTCCTATAGTAAAGCACTTCGGGTGAGCTCATCAATTCTGTTGATGTTAGCCAAGGAGGCAGAGCTAGAATAAAAGTTAAATATTCAATTTATTTAATGGGGGTAAGAGGGTGGTCAGGGGGCTAAATAGTGTTTTTAACACTATATGGTCAGGAGAGGCGGAGCCTAACCCCGCGAGTGAATGGCCGCATAAACTCTGAGCTCCGCCGCGGCCTAGCCTGAAACCACCGCTATCAGCAGCACCTGAGCCCCGAAAACACCCCACGTTCCCCCCCCCCCTATACCCACACTCACCCTCCCCATGGGCGGAGGGAAGAAAGCCCGCAACTCCTCCGTTGCACCGATCTTCAGGCAGAAGCCTGAACAACAGCGGGCGCCATCTTTGGAGCCCCTCCCGTCGGACTCAGACTCCGAAATGAGCAGCCAGGCACCCTCGGAGAGGACGGAGGCACCGCTGACGAGGAGGGACATGCAGGGCTTCCTGGCTGACTTCAAACAATCTGTGGCCGAAGAACTGGACAAACGTCTTTGCCCCATACTAGAAGGTATGGCAGACCTGTCAGCCCGTGCACAGGCCGCAGAGGCCAAAATGGCGGACACAGAGGAGATCGTGCAGGCCCATGGCAGTGAAATACTGCACCTGAGAGATCAATTACGCTCCCTCGAAGACACCAACGAAGACCTAAATAATAGAACACGTAGGAACAATATCAGGGTCAGGGGCGTCCCTGAATCGGTGTCGCCCGACCTACTCACTGACACCCTCACGGAGGCATTTCAACACCTCCTACCGGAGGCTACAACAGCTGACCTACTGATGGACCGGGCACACCGAGCCCTCAGAGCCCCAAGCACCAACGCTGCCGTACCCAGGGACATAGTGGTGCGCCTCCACTTCTATCACATCAAGGAGCGCATAATGCGCGCAGCCAGGGATACCCCCATCGAGGTAGAGGGAGCGCCAGTACAACTATATCAAGACCTGGCTCCCACCACCTTGAAACGCCGAAGAGAACTACGCCCACTCACACAACACCTAAGCAGCCACGGCCTCCGCTACGCGTGGGGTCACCCTTTCAAAATAATTATACGCAAAGATGGCAGGTTCCACTCCCTCACAAGACCGGAAGAAATCCCTGCGCTTCTGACCCAGCTGAACTTACCGCAAATCCCAGAAACACCTCACTCCAACGCCGAATCCTCAGCACGACAACCACCGAGCAATAACCCGCCCGCCAGGACCGGTGACCGTCCCCATCGCAACACGGCACTGCAGAATCCAGGCGCAACACGTTAGGAGAACCTGAGGGTTGGGGGGACGGTGGCGCTGACACATCTATCCGACCCCGCGTCCCCTACACCCCACTCTCACCCCAGCTTGCCTTGTCTCACCGGCTCCCCTATGCCCCGCCGGACCCACCAACAGCCAGCGACAAGCACAGACATATTATACAGTTGCATCGCTGCACAGAAGGCGCTCAATCCGGATCCGGGGAAACCAGCACCACTTAGACCACTCAGACAGCACAGAACGACCCTGACCACAACCAAAGGGCGGAAGACGCACCAGCATGGACAGGCCCCGGCGAGCTCGGCGACAACACCCCAACGCCGAGCCTACCCCCGGCTCCAGCCCCAGAGCACACCCGACATCGCCCGGACTCCCAGCGGCACCACAGGAACATATCCTCAAGGCCACACCATCACAGGCTACACCAAAGTTTCCAGCACCGAGGAACATGCACAGAGACAATCCCCCCGACACGCCGATTGACATGAACGGGAGAAGGCACCTGACAAGACTCTCCTCTCCGGCACCCCCCTCCCGGGCACCTACCACCACAGGACCCCATCACCATGAGACTCTATGCCTTGGACATTGGGCCGTACACCGCAAGTATGGTTTAAAGGGGGCAGCATACACACGATCCCCTAAACATCCTGTGAAGCGCTTATCGCCCACAGACAACCTCCAACGGGGCGGGCAGGGACCCAGAAGTTGGGATGGGGGGGGGGTTCCGGGGGGGAGGGGGGGGTGACGGGAATGACGGGGCGACGGGGGACCGACAAACCCGCCCCTCCGGCATGACCTGCACCCCGCACTCTGACTGACGGAGACCATACACCGGCAGCAACCGCTGACCCCCCCATCCCCGACCTCCCGACAACAGGCACATGACCGATACCATGGCCCCACTAGCCCTACACATGCCAGACGGGGCAAGGAGCCAGGGACGCTCCACACACATGACTCACGGACAAGGGACAAGCACCACCATCACATGCACAGCGCATGCCCACATCAAGCACGACTAGCCGGCAGCAACCACACACAACACTGCCCCACCTGCTCCCAGGCCTCACACACACCCTGATCAAAGGCAGACCGACCCCTAACCAGTTGACCGGACGCCGAACCGCAGACTAGGTATAGACGTACACGACCGCTCTTTGGATAAACCGTGGACCTACGGGACAATTCCTACATGTGATAGAGAGCACCAGCTCAGACCACTGCTCCCTCTGACCCCCCCTTCCTTTTTTTTTTTTGATACCTCTGCTCAAGGCATTAACAATTTGTTCAAATGTTATAACGTTATAATGTTGCATTGTAAATGTATGCATGTTTTACACAGGAACCGGCTGTTACCCGCTCCCACAGACCACGACACACACTCTGAACCTCAGACCGCGGAGGCACAACCAGGCCCTCTTGAGAGCCGATAAGGCCGCGATAGACAACCCACACTCCAGGCCATCTCACCACCACCCACGACATGAGGTCACCCCTCCACTGCCCCTTCCGGACACACCCTACTGGCAAATCAGAGCTTTAATAGGACAGAACTCGTCCCTATGGCATGCATACGCACCCCCAAAATAGGGATATACGCGCACGCAGGACCCACACACAAAGGGACACCTGACACACACACACACAGGGATAGCGATATCCGGCGGGTACACCACCCAGAATTTTTGATACACCCGCCTCACGAAGAGAATGCACACGCCCGCCACACGACGGGACACACACCCAAAAGCCCTCATACACCACCCATCCAACCCCAGGCTCAGCCACAGCAACAGGACCATGGGCAGGCCGTGGGCGGAACCTGCCACCACTTGTGTACACCCCTACCCACCGGCCTCGATACTCCCGAGGACTGCCGCGCGGACCTTGGGAAGGACAACCGAGGCCCCCGCCTAACCTCGACTGGCCAGTTTGATAAGCCCAGTCCCTCACACACCGCCCCCGCAGGGCGTCAGCGGCGACCCGAAAGACCCGCGCGGGCGGGACCCTACTAACCCACCCCTGCTACCACCCTCCACCACCCCTGCCGACCCCACCCAGACTCGACTGCCCAACGCACCACGAACGGACGCCTAGCTAACCGACGCCCCTCGCACCACTGCCGGATCGTGACCACCCCCACGCACCAGCATGGCACCGCGGAACCTCCAAATCCGCTTCATTTCCCTCAACGTCAAAGGACTCAACTCGCCAGGGAAAAGACATGGGATACTACGTTGGGCCCACCGCACGGGAGCGGACGTCGTCCTACTTCAGGAAACCCACTTCACCGATCACAAACAGTTCCCGCTACTTAATAGGCACTATAAGAGATATTATTTGGCCAACTCGCCAAAAGCAAAAACGAAAGGAGTTGCAATATTGCTGCGAAACTCGTGCCCTCTGGATGATATACAAACCCGCAAAGACCCCTCAGGGAGATTCCTCTTCCTCACAGGACGAGCGGGCACGACTACACTAACAATATGCTCCCTGTATGCCCCTACCAACCCGGATGCAACATTCTGGAACACATTTAAGACCCACCTCACTAGCCTCTCAGCCAAACACCTAATCATAGGAGGAGACATAAACGCGACCCACACGCCTGCCATAGACCGCAGATCTCAGTCCGGTAGCGCACCCTCCTCGACCAGGAACGACAAATTATATGCAGATTTTCTACTGGAAACCCCTTTACTGGATGCCTGGAGATTCCAACACCCGACCGCCGCGGACTTTACCTTCTACTCCCACGCACACAAGTCATACTCCCGTATCGATAGTTTCCTCATATCCCCAGCCGTCCAGCCCTGGACCATTCACACACACATTGGAAACATTGCGTGGTCCGATCATGCGGAAGTCGCTCTGACGATACAGATCCCACTAAGGGCGCGCCCGTGGCGATGGAAACTCAACCCATGGATACTCAAAGATGCGGCCACGGTCCACACAGTGTCGGAAAACCTTAAAACCTACTTTGAACTCAACGCCACCGACGACATGGCGCCGACAACGGTTTGGGCAGCCCATAAAGCAACGATCAGAGGACACCTAATAGCAATAGCCACGGCCCTCAAAAAGCAACGCCTACGGAAAATGGTAGACGCCCTGGCTGACTTAACAAGACTCGAAACCCTACATAAACAAAATCCGTCAGACTCGCTCCTGACGCAGCTCAAAACGACACGGGACCTCATCACACAACTCTCAGCAGCAGACGTGGCGAGGAATCTCATGTGGTCCAAGCAACGATTCTATGAAAAGGGCAACAAGGCGGATTCACTATTGGCACGCTGCCTCAAAAAACGTCAGGAAAATAAGACGATATCGAAAATCCGAACTAGGTCTGGTGAAACGACGACAAACCCAGAAGCAATAGCCCAGGAATTCCTTCAATACTATACAGACTTGTACAACCACGCCACTCCAACGCCCACGGGGGAAATAAACCAGGCGGAAGCCACCTCCTCATTCTTACGACCCCTCAACCTACCCACCTTATCCAGCAGAGCACAAGCCATGCTGGACACACCCATCGAGGCCGAGGAGATCGCCCTGGTCCTCAAGACACTGAAACCCAGAAAAAGCCCAGGACCGGATGGCTTCACAGCCATCTACTATAAGACGTTCCAGACCATACTAATACCACATTTATGTAAGGCCTTTAACTCGCTGTTGCAGGGACACAAACTCCCCACTGACATGCTGCGAGCAGACATATGCCTCTTACCCAAGCCAGGGAAGGAACAGCTTGACCCGGGACACTATCGCCCAATATCGCTCTTAAACACCGACCTGAAAATACTCACGAAGACCCTTGCCAACCGCCTCAACCAGCACCTCCCATCCTTGATCCACCCAGACCAGGTCGGCTTCATTCCCAAAAGGCAGGCGGCCGACAATACCAGGAGAGCCTACGATACGATCTGGTATACCAGGCACCGTAACATCCCATCGGTAGTGCTCTCGCTGGATGCCGAGAAGGCATTTGATCGTCTTCTCTGGCCATATATGTTCGGGGTACTGGCACACTTGAACTTCCCGATAGGATTCCTGAACATCTTACGGGCAATATACAATCGCCCAACAGGGCAGCTCCTGCTCCCACACGTCGAAGCCCAAACCTTTAACATAGCTAACGGAACTAGGCAAGGATGCCCCCTCTCCCCACTTCTTTTTGCAATCTCCCTGGAACCATTGCTTCAAGCTATACGCACCCATCCCAACATACAGGGAGTTCGGATCAGGCAAGACACGTACACCGTAGCAGCCTACGCAGACGATGTACTTCTAACGTTGACGGACCCTGTCCCTTCCCTACACGCCATACTCTCTATCATCGACGACTATGCCACCATATCCGGCTATAAAATCAACATAACTAAATCAACGCTAATGCCTATCACAATATCACCCTCGCAACTCCGTCTGCTTCGCGGCTCCTTTCCCTTCCGCATCACCACGACCGCCCTTACATACCTAGGCACCAAACTAGCGCCGACACTGGACGACATCTATGGCCTCAACTACACGCCACTCCTCACAACGGCGTACTCGGACTTGCAGCGGTGGGACAGGCTAGGAATATCGTGGCTGGGAAGAGTCACCACCATCAAAATGAACCTCCTCCCGCGGTTCCTCTATCTTTTCCAAACGCTGCCCATCCCGATACTCAAAACGGACTTCAATCGCCTCCAGGCAGCCATAGACAAATTCATCTGGAAAGCCAAAAGACCCAGAATACGCAGAGCTACTATGTACACCCCAAGACTCAGAGGAGGACTGGGGCTACCCAATTTTCAGCAATATTACCATGCTGCCCAACTGGCCCACATCCAACAATGGCATGCCCCCCCCGGTACCAAGCGCTGGGTGGACTTGGAACACGACATCCTGGGCTGGGACCAACCTTCCTCGTACATGTGGGTACCGCGCATACATCGACCACTCCCCCCACCAACTTCACCGGCAATCACCCACACTCTAACTCTCTGGGACAAGCTCAACCCAAAATATGACCTATCCTCCTTCCTCTCCCCGGTAACACCGATATACCGCAACAAACTCTTTCCCCCCGGGATGACGGCGAAACACTTCCTAGCGTTTGACCAGCGAGACATCTCGAGGCTACTCCATCTGTACCGTCAGGGGGAAATATTCAGGTATGACGAACTTCCCCATGCGGAAACGCTGAACACGGCAGATCACTTCCGGTACATACAGCTGCGGGACCTGGCGCAACAGCCCATGATCAAACAAGCGGGCACCTCACCACCGACGGCGTTTGAAAAACAGTGCTTCGACGCGCCGCTGCAACCGGGACAAATCTCCATTATCTACAATACACTGACGACTCACGCTTCCCAAGTCAACCTCAAGTACATCGCCGCATGGGAACGGGACTTGGGACCACCAGAGAACCCGAGTGACTGGGCCGAAATTTGGGAGGCGACAAACTCCCTTACGGTCTGCGTCACACATAAGGAACAGGCCTACAAGACGATGCTACGCTGGTACCTGACACCACACAGACTCTACAAAATGGGCCAAAAACCCGATGACGAATGCTGGAAAAGGTGCGGAGCCACTGGATCCTACCTCCACTGCTGGTGGACATGTCCCAAACTCAAACCGCTTTGGGTCAAAGTAAACAATCTCATTGAAACAATCCTAGACAAGCCGGTCACTGCACAACCGTGGGCTATGCTTCTCAACAAACCGCAAGACTCCCTTACCAGGAGCGAAAATAAACTGGCAGCCCAGATCAACCTCGCAGCGCGGAGAGCGGTAGCGGAACTGTGGGCAGATCCAAAAATTCCTACGACCTCCACCATAATACAAAAAATCACAGAATCCCGGGACCTGGACGAACTCACGGCACAAATAAACGACACGTACAAAGCGTTCCATCGCATATGGGACCCCTGGGATATGAATCATGTGAAACTGAACGAGGATCAGACGACCTAATGGAATCCAAGAAGTAAGAGCATCCATATTCGACAACACCCCGAGCCACACGAATGTCACCACCAACAAAGCGGCTATGCACCAGCTAGGAGGAGCACTGGCACGTTCCTGCAACCTTCCTGCCCCTCCCATACCCCCCCTCCCTATCTTCTCCTAACCCATCCTGTAGGGGTCCCGTCCGCGCGGGCGGAGAACAACTGCCCAACGCCAAAACACCACATCAGTAACACCAGATGGACCCTCAAGAGCGACCCTGCGCACTCACCCAATCCCCCCCCTCCCCAGCTACCCAACCAGACTCCCCTGCGCCCTTCCCTCGATTCGAATCCCTCCCCTGACTCGCTGACCCAGAGATAAGACAGAAGTTCAACACAGCACAACACGGGCAAAGTGACCGATGAGAGAGGTAACCGGGAACAAATCACCACATGGATCACACACGCACGACCACCACAATAGGTGACGGTATCTCCACTCCCGGGAAGCCTCAGGCCTCACAACCCCCTAACCACAGGGACTTTCAAACTGCAGAACTTCTCTACACAAACACACCACCAGAACGTCACACAAAAGGGTAACCTACACCCCTCCATTTACTTCCGCACCCCATCCCACACCCACGGTTACACAAGTTGAATGTTAAATTGACGGTAATATGTGTTTCCAGACAATTGATATTAAATGCATCTGCTGACAAATGTCTAAGGTATGCATCTATGAAGCAATGCAGAAACAATGTACATTCTGCAAACACTGTACCACAAGCTTTAACCCACCACTTTCAATTCTGTACCCCCACCCCATGAACCAACAAAAACCTTTCAAAAATAAAGAATTTACAAAAAAAAAAAACACTATATGGTCAGGAAAACACATTTGCGTTCCTGAACCTATAATGTTCCTTTAAGATCAAAGACATGTGCATTAACATATTAATTAATATTCCTTTAACAGAGAGATCCAAAGCACATCAACAACAGAATATAAAAGTTATACAAAATACCTCTCAGAAAATAAGAGAGTACTTAAAGGGACATTCTAATATCATATTCTATTCCTGCAGGCTTGAGCAGGAGATAAAAAGTTGTAAATTAAAGGGTTACTCCAACCACCGTGACCACTTCTGTTTTGAGGTGGTCATTGTGCTAGGAGTAGGGATGAGCAGTGTTTCAACTTGAAACACTGCACATCCAGAGTAATTAGTAATTTTGTGTCAGAGGCAAGTTGCATCCTCAGCACACGTGACACTGGAAGCCCAGAACCTAATGTCAATTCTGTGCACAGAATAAGCCTGTCGACATACACATTGTGATTCTTGCTTGCAATCAGAGCTAGCACATGTACTCGGAAACAGTTAAATAGACCAACCCAAGGTTCTCCTTCTTTACGAGGAGAAGAAGAATACATGCCTTTGATTGCACCGCTTGTCAACTTCGCCTGGTGCTGGATAAAGTAACTTTTTTTTTTTTACAGCGATTGGGAGGGGGAACCTACAGAATAATGCCTAATAGGGAGTTATTCATTATTTTAAAATAAAATTAATGAAGGTTAGAGTAACCCTTTAAAACACACTGTGCAATAAACAAAGTTACAAATTGATTGATTGAAAACGGCATTGACACTGCCTGGGGACTTTGCATTATTTGCTAAGACCTCTGATCATGACATCACCGCTAGGTGTCTGATGGCAGGCAGATGTAAGTTTTACTTAACCCCTTAAGGACGGAGCCAAATGTACACGTTGTGAGCGAAACAAAATGTAAACAAAACCTGGCATTTGCGCTACATGTCTGTCCAACCGTAATTCACCTCTTTCATATTAAATGCACCCACCCTTATAATATATCATTTTATTCAGGGGAAACAGGGCTTTCATTTAATCTCAAATATTTAGCTATGAAACAATTTAATATGAAAAAAATTGGAGAATTTATTTTTTATTTGTTTAGTTCTACATGACATTTTAACTGTCAATGTCATAATACTGTTTTACTGCAATAAAATACACATATTTGTATTCAGCAAAGTCTCACGTGTAAAACAGTACCCCCTATGTACAGGTTTTAAGGCATTTTGGGAAGTTACAGGGTCAAATATAGCACGTTACATTTGAAATTGAAATTCGCCAGATTGGTTATGTTGCCTTTGGGACTTTATAGTAGCCCAGGAATGAAATTTACACCCATAATGGCATACCATTTGCAATAGTAGACAACCCAAGGTATTGCAAATGGGGTATGTCCAGTCTTTTTTAGTAGCCATTTGGTCACAAACACTAGCCAAAGTTAGCGTTAGTATCTGTTTGTGTGAAAAATGCAAAAAAACGCCAATTTTGGCCAGTGTTTGTGACTAAGTGGCTACTAAAAAAGACTGGACATACCCTGTTTGCAATACCTTGGAATGTCTACTATTGCAAATGGTATGCCATTATGGGTGTAAATTTCATTCCTGGGCTACTATAAAGTCCCAAAGGCAACGTAACAAATCTGGCAAATTTCAATTTCAAATGTAACGTGCTATATTTGACTCTGTAACTTCCCAAAACGCCATAAAACCTGTACATGAGGGGTACTGTTGTACTCGGGAGACTTCGCTGAACACAAAATATTTGTGTTTCAAAACAGTAAAAAAGGATCACAGCAATAATATCGTCCGTGTAAGTGCTGTTTGTGCATGAAAAAGGCAAAAAACGTCACTTTTACTGGCGATATCATCGTTGTAATACACTTTACGGTTTTGAAACACTAATATTTGTGTTCAGCGAAGTCTCCCGAGTAGAACAGTACCCCCCTTGTACAAGTTTTATGGTGTCTTGGAAAGTTAATATAAGGGTTAAATATAGTGCTAGCAAATTAAATTCCCTTTACTTTCGGCATGGGTTGTCAGGCAGGTCCCGCTAATTGTAATTAACCCCTTAAGGACACATGACATGTGTGACATGTTATGATTCCCTTTTATTCCAGAAGTTTGGTCCTTAAGGGGTTAATTAAGATACCTAATTATGTAAAAATATTACATAAATATATAT